CCTTACTAATGCAGAATTTTCTATAATGCAACATGAGGCCCCCACACTGCCTTCACAGCCACCTGAGGAGGTTGAACTTTTGCCAGTTCAGCAGGAGGCTCCAGCCGAACTCTAGAAGAAAGTACACATAATAAACCTTCAGTACAAGAGGAGACCCCAACTCAGTATCCAGAGCATCGTGGAGAAGAGGTTATACCTGCCACAAGCCAGCAGTAGACTCCAGATCAGTTCTCACAGGCTCCTGACGTACCTTCTCCACCTCAGCAGGAAGCCACAGCTTATCATCCAGAGTCTCATGGTGAGGTGGAATCCTCTCCAACTCAGTCTCCAGAGCTCTCTAATGTGACTGTAGTTTTCTCTCCAGAGCATCCTGTGACAACAGTTTCTCCTCTAGGTCAGGATCAAGCTCAGCTTCTGTAGCAGCCTGATGTCACTGTTAAACCTGTGGATCTTGCACTTACCGTAACTCCAGCGTTCACTAATGACGTTGAAACTTCTCCACCCCAACAAGAAACCTCGGCTCAGTCTACAGTGTCCCCTGAGCAGTTGGAACCATTGTCAGTCCAGCAAGAATCTTCAGATCAGCATCCAACCCCCTCTGAGAATGTTGAACCTTCTCCAGTTCAGCAGGGAGCCCCAACACAACCTGAAGAGCTTCCTGAGGAAACTGACCCTTCTCCAAGCCAGCAGGAGAGCTCAGCTCAGCATCCAAAGCCCACTGAGTGGGTTGGACCTTCTCCAGTCCAGCATCAGCACCCAACTCAGCCTCCAGGGGCCTCTACAGATGGTGCAGCTCAACCTTCAGTACATAGTGAAGTGACATTCTCACATCTAGGTCCAGGTGAAGTTGAACATCCAGTGTTGTCTAATATCACAGTTGAACCCCTGGATCCTGCGGTTGTCTTAACTCTAGAGCCCAGTAAGAGCTTGAACATCCTACAGTGCAGCAGGAGGACCCTACTCAGACTCCAGATCCCCCTGGAGGGATAGAGCTTTCTTTAATCCAGGACGAGGCCCCAGCTCAGCCTCCGGTTCCCCAGGGGAGCTCAGCTATATGTCCGTAGCCCCCTAAGGAGGTGGTACCTTCTCCCACAGAGCAGGAGCTTCAGGCTCATTCATCAGAGCTCCCTGCAAAGGTGGAACTATTTCCAGTCCCTCAAGGGACCCTCCTCATCTTCTACAGCCCCCTGAGAACATGGAATCTTCTCCAGTCCAACAGGCGTTCCCAGGCCTACCTCTGGAACCCCTTAAAGAGACAGAACCTTCTCCAGCTGAGTAGGAGGCCCCATCTCAGCCTCTAGCACCACCTAAGGAGGTTGTAGCACAAACTCCATCGAGTGCATTATGAGATGACAATTCCAACACTAGGACAGGGTCAAGCTCAGCATTTAAACTTGCCCAGAGTCATAGTTAATCCTTTGGACCAGGGTCTTCCCACAGCTCCAGAACCTACAACGGAGGCTGAATATTCTGCAGCCCTGCAGCAGACTGCAGTTCCTCCAACATAGCCCGAGGTGACATTTCCAAATGCAGAGCAAGTTTAGGCTCAGCATCCAACCTTGACAGAGGTCACAATTCAACCTTTGGACCTTGAACTGACCATAAGGCCACAACCCACTAAGGAGGATGAACCTTCTCCAACCATGCAGGATAACTTAACACAGCTTCCAGAACCACCTAAGGAGGTTTCTGTAGCTCAGCTTCCAGTATATCAGAACCCAATAGTTCCAACACCAGAACAGGATCACACTGAGCGTCCAGCATCACCCAGTGTCACAGTTCAACCTTTAGACCAGGGGCTTACCACAACTCCAGAACCTACTATGGAGGGTGATCATTCCAATCCCCTGCAGGAGACTATAGATCCTCCAACATACCACGAAGTGACACTTCCAAATCCAGAGCAAGTTCAGGCTCAGCATCCAACCTTAACTGAGGTCACAGTTCAACCTTTGGACCTGGAACTTACGTTAACTCTGGAATCCACTTTGGAGGTTGATCTTTCTCCAACCATGCAGCAGACCCATACTCAGCCTCCAGAGCTCATTAAGGAAGTTGTAGCTCAGTCTCCATTGTACTCCAAAGTGACAGTTCCAGCACCAGATCAGGATCATGCTGAGCATCCAGTATCACCCAGTATCACAGTTAAACCTTTGGACCTGGAACTTACCACAACTCCAAAACCTACTACAGAGTCTGAACATTCTGCAGCCCGGCAGCAGACTACAGCTCCCCCTCCAAAACACCCTGAGATGACACGTGCACAGCCAAACCTGATTCAATTCACAATTCAACCTATGGATGTGGAAATTACCATTACTGTAGGATCCAATATGGAGACTGTACCTTCTCCAATCATGCAGCACACCCCAACTCAGCCTCCAGAGGCACCTCAGTATGTTGTACTTCAATCTCCATTCCAACAGGATGTGACAGTTCCAAATCCAAGTAAGGATCAAGGTCAGCATTCAACATCATCCAGCGTCAGAGTTCATTATGTGGACCTAGAGCAAACCACCACTCCAGAATCCACTATGGAGGCTGGACATTGTACATCCCTACAGCAGACTACAGCTCCCCCTCCAAAACACCCTGAGGTGACACTTGCACAACCAAACCTGACTCAAGTCACTGTTCTACCTGTGGGCCTGGGAGTTAACATATCTCAGCAACCAAGAGCATCTGAGACAGTTCTTTTTCCTTCGACTCAGTATTCAGTATCCACAGGCCTTCCTGGTGTAAAATATACCCCAGAAAAGAAGCAGCCGGAACAGGATGCCACCACAAACATCAGCATATGTGAGCTGTGTACCTGCATAAATGAGACGCTGGCGTGTGTTGGTCTTAGCCCAAAGCAGAAGCTCCACAGAGTGCCTGAGCCAGAGCCTAACGCCTACAATGGCACCTTCACCATCATGTAAGATTCGCCTCTCCTCATTTGTTCTCTGCATCCTGCCTGACATGGCAGCCTTTCTTCAGGTCTTCCTGGGTCCTCCTTTTCTCCCCAATCCACATTGACTGACTTTCTGTTTTCATCTTTTGTTTGTCAATGATTCCTTATCTTCCTTCTCCTCCTTACCATTTTTCCCTCTCCTCCAGTCTTTTACTTTTAATTGCCCTTGTTTTTTCCTTCTCCATTTTTTACCCCATTATTTAATTCCTTAACACCTAATCTTCTCTCATCTTTATTCCATCGTGTTTACAGCAACATGTCCCTCTCCCCATCTCATTGGTGGTAATACAACAAAGTGGTTAAGAGTAGAAATTCCGGAGCCAGACTAACTGGGTTTGAATCCAGGTCTGTCATTTATTAGCTTTATGACTCAATTTCCTCATCTGTAAAATGGGGATTATGGTAGTCATGTCATAGTATGACTCCTATGACTCCTCAATCTCCCAATGACTCCAATCTCATTGGGAGATTTAGATGAGTTAATATAGGTAAAGCTCTTCTATCAGTGCCTAGCATATATTTTAGTGTAGCTATTATTATTATTCAATCCCTCAGTTATATCTAGAACTCAACTTTGTCCCCTGGCTTTCTATATGTAGCACCCATTTGTGCCCAACCCAGGGCTAAGTACTTTGGGAGCCGCAGAAGTATATGGCATTGTCTCCAGAAATAACAATGACAAGTTGGAAGAAAGGGGATATGCCTTAAAAGGGAGGTAATATATAATTAAGTATGAAATGAAATACAGATAGGTGGTGTAATTCACCAGAACCTGTAATCACAGGGGTGTGGAGGTCATGGAAGGCTGCATGGATAAGCTCAATGTTTAGCTGGGACTTAAAGATTGGCTGTGATTTGTCAGAAAAATAATAGGCAGTACAGTCTAGGCAAAGGTGTGACTGCAGGGACGATCAGAATTTAATAGATTAGTCTGGCTGTAAATAATTGGGTTAGGTAACAATGAAAGATAGGATTATGAAAAACCTTGGCTATCGGCAATGCAGGTTTGAAAGTTCCGATGTAAGATATGGGAAGCCACTGCAAGTTTTCAAGCAAGAGAGACAAATGATGAAAACAAGAGGCTTATTTTAAACTTGAAGATGGGTAAGACAGGATTCCTCTTAGCAACTCATGATCTCATAGGCAAAATAAGCATATAAGCTCAAACCATAATGACAAAGTGCTGTGGAGGCACCATAAAGTAATAAAACTACATTTCTTTTAAAACAGTCATTTCCTCCTTCTATCCATTCCCCAGCTATTTGTTGATTTTATAAATATTTGAGTTT